GAAGCTGTACTCTAATAAAATGGAAAACACAGAAGAAATGGACAGATTTCTAGATACTTATGAATTACCAAAGTTGAACGAAGAAGATAAAAACATTTTAACACCCCAATCACAATCAGTGTAATTGAAAATGTAATTAAAAACTTACCAACAAAGAAAAGCCCAGGTCCTGATGGATTCACTGCTGAATTTTACAAGACATTTAGAGAAGATCTACTGCCATTACTCTTCAGACTTTTCAATGAAATTGAAAGAGAAGCTATACTTCCAAATTCATTCCTGGAAGCAAATATCACTTTAATTCCCAAGCCTGGGAAAGATGTAAGTAAAAAAGAGAACTACAGGCCAATCTCTGTAATGAATATAGATGGAAAAATCCTCAATAAGATACTAGCAAACAGAATATAGAGGATCATCAAGAAGATCATCCATCCTGACCAAGTCGGATTTATTCCAGGGATGCAAGGATGGTTCAACATATGTAAATCAATAAATATAACACATATATTAACAAAGTCAAGGACAAGAATCACATGATCCTCTCGATAGATGCAGAAAAAGCATTTGACAAAATTCAACATCCATTCATGATAAAAACTCTGCAAAAAATTGGAATAGATGGTCTATGTCTCAACTTAATACAGGTTATCTATGATAAACCAACAGCCAACATCATATTAAATGGCCAAAACATGAAAACCTTCACATTAAAATCAGGAACAAGACAAGAATGCCCACTATCACCACTCCTCTTTGATATGGAAATATTAGCCATAGCAATTAAACAAGAGAAGGAAATTAAAGCAATAAATATAGGAAAGGAAGAAGTTAAACTGTCATTATTTGCTGGTGATATGATACTCTACACTGAAGACCCAAAAAAACTCCACCAAAAGACTTCTTGACTTAATTGACACTTTTAGCAGAGTAGCTGGATACAAGGTCAACACCCAAAAATCAATAGACTTCTTGTACACAAATAACAGACTCACTGAGAAAGAAATTAGGGAAACAATTCCTTTCACAATAGCACACAAAAAAATGAAGTATCTGGGAATCAATCTAACTAAAGAATCAAAAGACCTCTACACTGAAAACTATAGCACTCTGAAAAAAGAGATCAAAGAAAATATAAGAAAATGGAATGATCTCCCCTGCTCCTGGGTAGGAAGAATCAACATAGAGAAAATGGCCATACTACCAAAACTGCTATACAGATTCAATGCAATGCCAGTTGAAATCCCAACACTATACTTCACAAAACTAGAAAGAAGAATCCAAAAATTCATTTGGAACCATAAGAGACCTAGAATAGCAAAAGCCATCCTAGGCAACAGACACATGGCAGAGGGTATAATAATTCCCAATTTGAAACTATGCTAAAAAGCCACTGTGATAAAAACAGCATGGTACTGTCAAAGAAACAGACCTGAGGATCAGTGGAACAGACTGGAAGACACAATAACAATTCCAGATGTACTCAGCTACTTCATCTCTGACAAAGGAGCTGACCATCCCCACTGGAGGAAAGATAGCCTCTTTAATAAATGGTGTTGGAAAAACTGGATCTCAATCTGCAAAAGATTAAAACTAGACCCTTATCTTTCACCATGTACTATATTAAAATCCAAGTGGATTAAAGATCTAAATATTAAAAAAGAAACACTAAACTTGCTGAAAGATAACTTAGGCAGAACTCTGGAAGACATTGGCATAGGAAAATACTTTATGAACAAATCCTCAGTAGCACGGAAACTAGCAGAAAGAATCAACAAGTGGGATCTCATCTTATTAAAAGGCTTCTGCACTGCAAAAGAAACCATCAACAGAACTAAGAGACAACCTACAATGTGGGAAAAACTTTTACCAGCTGCTCCTCAGACAAAGGACTCTTATCTAAAATATATAAAGAACTCAAAACAATCAGCCCCCCCGCAAATATAAAGACCCAATTCTAAAATGGGCATCTGAAATGAACAGACATTTCTCAGACAAAGAAATAAAAGCAGAAAGTAAATATATGAAAAAGTGCTCCACATCACTGGTCACTGAGATTTCACCTCACCCCACAAAGAATGGCTGCTATCAAGAAATCACACAATAACAAATGTTGGTGCGGTTGTGGGGAGAAAGGAACCCTTCTCCATTGTTGGTGGGAGTGCAGACTGGTGCAACCACTATGGAAGTCAATACAGAGATACCTCAGAGAACTAGGACTAGAGGTTCCATTTGACCCAGCCATCCCTCTGTTGGGTATCTTTCCAAAAGAATTAAAAGAATCATACCACAGTGATATATGCACACCCATGTTTATAGCGGCACAGTTTGTAATATCTAAAACTTGGAAACAGCTCATCTGCCCATCAGTTGGAAACTGGATAAAGAAGATGTGGTTTTTCTATAAAATGGAATACTACTCAGCCACAATGAATGAGAGAGTAGATTAATTCATAGGTAAATGGGTACATTTTGAGGATATACTCCTAAGTGAAATAAATAAGTCACATATATGCAAATACCGAATAGTTTCTCTGGTGTGAAAAACTAAACTAGTACTCAAGATCCTAACAGGGCAATTAGCAATGTGAAATACGAAGAAAAGGACCAAAGGTATAAGGACAGTGAGAAGGATAGGGAAAGGGGAATAAGGGAAAAGGAAAAAAATATGAGAAAATGTAAAAATGGAATGAAAGTGTTTGAAGGTGAGGAGGGGAGGAGGGAGTGAAGGGAGGGCAGGGACAAGGGGAAAAAATGAGAACCAAGACCTGGCATGTAAAGGTACAAGATCCCAGTAATGACTGTAACTGTACTGTCTACCTAGAATGTACTAATAAATTCAATTTAAAAGAAAAAAATTGCTCGTGGAAATAATTTGTGACACATATAATCCTACCTTCTTCCTGAGAGGACTGATATTTGCTGCTACCAAGTGTTTGATACTATAAATTCACCTTGCTTTAGCCGGGCATGGTGGCTCACGCCTATAATCCCAGCACTCGGGAGGCTGAGGCAGGAGGATTGCTGTGAGTTCCAGACCAGCCTGGGTGACAGAGTGAGTTCCAGGTCAGTCTCAAGTACACACTGAGACCCTGTCTCAAAAACAAAACAAAACAAAACAAAATTCACCTTGCTTTTCAAGAATAGGAATAGGCAAAGCTAAATTTTGGGTTGTGTAGTGGGCTTTTGACCTCTATTTCATACTTAGTCCTAGATGCTATGATTTGGGGATCTAAATCTAAAACAAGTAAAGCTCATCAAATGTTCCCTAGGCCCAACAAATGAGATGGTTATTATGCTATTGTTACTCAGCTTTGAATCCATACTTCTATGCTCTGCTTTATGATGCTGGAGTTGGAATTCTGCAAACCACACTGTGCATTGAATAAAACTATTATCTGTGACTCTGACCTTCTCTTTGCATGTTAAAATACCCTAAAACTGGTGAAATAACTGTGCCAATAAATGGTTATGTATGTGCGTTTAATAGTCTTATGTGGCAAAATATAAAAATTGGCAAAACTCCACATCCCTTCCTACTTGAAATTTTTTATTGGGTTATGAAATAAGAAGTCACAGATCACAAATATAATAGATACTGCAGATCTGGATTTCCAGTGGGTATTTGGCAAGCTCTGTATGATATGCTCCCTGCTAAAGTGGAGACAGGAGCTGGATGCAGAACCCGTGGAGAGAGGCACAGTATCCCTGTGGTGTGCTTTTTAACACCGATCCTAACAACCAGGCTTAAGACCCACTATGGCACCTGTTCTAAGGCTCTAAGTCCCTCCTTGTGAAGTTCCCAATCTCTCCTCTCCACCTCACTTTCTGTCTTCACTCTAACTCTTAGCTGCATTTGCTATTTACCATCCTTCACCTGTTCTTGGCCTGGTGATTACCTTTGAAAATTTGAACACAAGTGAGCTAAGCATTCAACTTAAGAAATTAAAACCAAGAGAAGCTACAAGAAACACGAGGGCATTAACAAATATAAAAGGCTCAAAATAATGAATCACAAGACGAAATGCCAGTAGACACTGTAATTTTAGACATGGATAGATAAGCCCAACACTGTAGCAAGTTTTACTACAAAAAGTAATGCAAGACAGATAGGTAGATAGATAGATAGATAGATAGGGAATGAAAAAGAAGATATAATCAGTTATGAAAATAATGAAAAGATGTCATATAAAACACTGTCAAAATTTTTCAAATCTAGATGAAATGGATGGTTTTTCCAGCACAATACAAATTACCAAAATTGATTTAAGAAAAAGAATATCTGAACACATCAAATGTCCAGACAGTGAACTGGAAGCCTTTTCACAGATCTCTTTTACACCAAGCTAAAACTAAATTAACTAACAAGAAACATATATCCTCTCTAAATTATTCAAGTTATTCCAGAATATGTAAGTGGAATATTTCCCAAATACTTTTATAAATTTAGTAATAAGCTTAATACTAAAACCTAATGAGTAGCATCAGAAAGAAAGTTAATCTTGTGCTGGGGATTTAGCTCAGCAGTTCGGTGGCCTGCCTTGCAAGCTCAAGGACCTGAGTTCAATCCCCCAGTACCAAAAAAAAAAATAAATAAATAAAGTTAATCTTGCTTAATAAATATCTAGGCAAGAATTGTAAAATTTATATCAGCCGCTAGTATTTTGAGATAATACAATGTGATCATAGAGGATTTATACAAGGGTGAAGTATTGTTAGTATAACAGAACAGTTGACAATCTGCAAACTGTATATTGTGGACTCTGCTTCCCCAAACCTCCATGGGGCAAAGGAAGTATACCCACGTGGAGTCCTGCCCTCTCTGTCACCCCATGACTTACAGACCACAGTCTGGGTATTCAAGACCCTGGAGTTTCCTGCCCTAATATCCCTGGAACTACCTACCTGGCCTCCTCTATTGTCTCTTAAGCGATTATGACATTAGAATGCCCAAGCCTAGACTCAAGGTGTGGCCAAGGATCACTTTTTGCAGGGAGTATAAATGGAGCTGGAATACCCGAGCTGCCATATGTACAGTCAAGAGCGATGTTATAACAAAGTAGCATAACCTGGATAGCTTATAAAACAACAGAAACATATTTCTGTCAGTTCTGGAGTCTGGGATGCCTAAGACAAAAGAACTGGGGAATTGGGTGTCTGGTGAGTACTCACTTCCTCCTTCACAGATAGAGCCGTCCTGCTGTTTCATCACGTGGGCGAACGGACAAGACAATTCTCTAGGACCTATGCCATAAGGCACTCATCACATTCATGGTGGCTCTACCCTCATGGCCTAATCATATCCCAAAGGCCCACCTCCTAATACCATCACACTGGGAATTCAGTTTCAAATATTAAGTTTAAGGCATACAAAAATTCAAACCACAGCAAGTGGAAAGATAAGAGAATGAGCCAGATAGTAATTTTTTCCATACCACCACTATGGCATAAAACACTGTGGGATACCAGATTCCTAAATTTGAACCCAGTTTTTAAGACTATTGTGGAATATAATTTTCAAAATAAGTAAATAGAATACAGTAAGTCCCCAGCTTAGGAACAAGTTCCTTTCTGGGAGAATGTTCGTAAGTCAGATTTGTTCATAAGTCTTACACAGTGAGTCTTATACACCTTTGACACAAATATACAATATAAAGCATTAAAAAACACATACACAAATATATTATAAACAATTTTTGCTCTTAGAATCGCCTTTAAATGGTGGTACACAGTACAGTACAACCGGTATAAAGGGGATTGCATGGAGTGAACTGAGCCAAAGTGTTTCTAACTGGCAGAGGGACGGCAGATGGAAGATGGTGGAGACGAAAGGTCATCATCCATAGGAGCTGGAGGGCAAGATGGAGTTTGGCCAACATCTGACGTTACTGGAGCTTAAGGATAATCAGCTACCTCCTTGATTTGTTCACATCTACAGAAGTTCCTAATGCGAGATCTAGTCCTGTCTGTGAAAGTTCACAAGGAATATTTGTAAGTTGGGGACTTACTGTATATTTCATTTGTTTTCTTGATGTAACTTCACACATACTCTCTATCCACAGGTGAGTATGTACTCATGTATACACACTTACATGTGTACATAGGCAGATATCCCACTTACGCTATGTGTATCAGTCTGATATTGTTTTCTCATCTCTGCCAATCTAGAAGGCTGGCTCACTCTTCATATTTGTGGGGCCTGTGGCAAGAGTAAACATGAAGGCCTGCAGGGCAGTGGTGCACACCTACAGTTCCATTTATTCAGGAGACTGGGGTACAAGAATTGCAAATTCAAGGCAACTTAGCAAGACCCTTTTCAAAATATAAAATAGAAGGGGCTAATATGTAGCTCATTGCTAGAGAACCCCTGGATTGATCCAAGTACTGAAGAAAAAAAAAGATAAAGGCTTACAGTAATCAAAATAGTGTGGTATTGGCATAAAAACAGACACGTAAAACCAAGGATCAAAATAAAAATCCCAGAAACAAATCTATACATCTATTTAAACTGATTTCTCAACAAGGCACTAAAAACATACAGTTGATAAAAAGACAACCTTTTCAATAGACAGCTGGGAAATTGGATATTTACAAGCAGAAGCTTGAAACTGGACCACATTTATCACCTGTACAAAAGTCAACTCAAAATGGATCAATGAACTAAATAAAGGTAACTATGAAACTACTAGAAAAAAATAGAAGAAACACTTCAAGATACTGGTACAGATTTTCTGGGTAGGGAACCAGAGACACAGAAATGAAAGCAAAAGATTAACAAATGAGATTATATCAAAGTAAAAACTTTCTATGCAGGAACAGAAATAAACAGCAGGGCAAAGAAAAAAACTTTCAAAATGGAGCAAAATATTTGCCAACTATTCATCTGACAGACGGTTAATACCTGGGCTATATAAGCAACTCAAACAACAGCAAAAAAAAAGTAATCCAATTAAAGCCTGGAAAGAAATAGATAGATATATCTGAATAAATAAATAGATATTCCCCCCAAAAATGGCCAACAAATACATGAAAAATACTCAATATCATTAGGCATCAGAGAAAGGTAAATTAAATTCACAATGCAATACTATCTCACCCCAGCTATAATGGCTATTACTAAAAACAAAAATGCTGACAAGGATGTGAAGAAAAAGGAACTCCTACACACGGTTGCTGGTAATAGAAATTAGCACAACCATTATGAAGTACAGTCTGGTGGTTCCTCAAAAAATTGAAAATAGATCTACTAGGGCCAGGGATTTAGCTCAGTGGTTGCACCACATGCCTCACAAGTGCAAGGTCCCAAGTTCAAACCCCAGTACAAAAACAAACAAACAAACAAACAAACAAAAATCTAGATCTACCATAGGATTCACCTATTCCACTTTTTGGTATATATCCAAAAGAAATGAAGTCAGCATGCCAAAGAAATACTTGTGTGCCCATGTTTACTAAGGCATTAGTCACAGTAGGTAAGATATGAAATCAGCCTAGGTTCCCATCAGCAGATGAATGGATAAGGAAAATATATTATATTTACACAATGGAACATCATTTGGCCATGTGGAAAGAATTAAATCTTGTCATGTAGCAAAATGGATAGACATAGAGGACATTGTATTTAGTGAAAAATGTGAGACTCAGCAAGATAATTACTACATGTCCTCTCTCTCATATACAAAAACTAAAAAATGTTCACCTGAAGTAGAATAGTGATTACAAGAAGTTGGGCTTCATCATTGAGCGTATGTAATTATCAAACAGAACTTCATTAATATGTACGACTAATACATGATAAGTCACACAATTATCATAGGACAAACAGGCAGTGCATGAGAACTCTACAAGCATACTCACCACTAATGTGTCATTGTCCCAAAGAAAGAAAACCAAAGGCAGCAGTTGCAAAAGTGGAGCAAAGTTCATGGAGCGTTTCAGCCCAAAAGAGCAGACACACCTACTGGGATGGGTACCAGCTAGCTAGGCCTTGGGCATTCATCCAATCACCTGTGATAGAGAGACATTGTATCAGTTATAGCAAACCATCCCCAAATACTCAATGGGTTAAAACAACAATTATTTTTGATCCTAGATCTGGAGGTTGATTAAAGCTAGGCTCTATTCCTGCATCTCTCATTCTCCTAAGACAGCAGGTTCATTGGGCGTGTGTTCTTCATGGGTATGATAAAATCTCTGGAAAATAATGAGAAACAGAGTCATCCTTCAGTGTCCACATGGGATACTTTTCCAGGATCCTCTGTGGATACCAAAATTGAAGATGCCTAAGTCCCTTGTTCAAAATGGCATCTAACCTACACACATCCTCCTGTGTGCTTTATAGGCTACTTATAATACCTAATAGGACATAATGCTATATAAACAGTTGCTCTATTATAGTGTTTAAGTCTTAATTACAAGAAAGAAAGAGTTGTATGTACTCAATATGGATGCAATTGTTTTTCAGAACACTTTTGATCTACAGTTACTTGAATCCAAGGATGCAGAACCTGAGGATACAAAGGGCTTGTAGACAATGATTGAAAAATATAGTGAATATTTCCATCTTTTATAGTATGCCCTAAATCAATTAAAATATTTACGTTTGTTATTTTGACTGGGAAAAAGTCAGAAGTCAGATCTACTAGTGTAGATCTTTACTAGTAGGGAAAAAATACACTAGTTTTTTTTAAGGAATCTGCCTTTCTATTAGACTGGACTTGGCAGCAGCATTGTTTTTAATCACCTGGTAAAGACGCTCACAAAAGCGGACTCCAGAACTGCTTCAGAACATGGCAAGAACAAAGGGACAAGTGGGGCAGGCAGAGGTGCCTGGCTTGAGGGGATTCACGGCAATGTGGCCTTTACCATACTAGATGTTTTAATTTAAATATTTACCATATACTTTGATCACACTTGGCCTCTCTGTTCAGGCGTGGAGCCAGCACAGCGTCATCTCCTCCTCATTCGCTGACCAAAGCAAGGAGCAAGAGGGGCAATGAGAAATGTTCAGCGGGAACTGAATGGGCAGACTCTATTATTATGCAACAATAAAAATGACCAAATCACTGGCCTACACGATGTGCAGAAAAGAAAGATATACAAGAAAAAGTCCTGAGCACCTTCTCCTAGGAGGGAGCCCACCCAGAGCCAAGCAGAGCCATCACCGTCCTATTGCTTCCCCTTCCTGTCGCAGGAGGTCAACCCATGGAGCTGCCTGCAAAATAGGGCTCCTCAGACACCTCCATCAGCAATAAACTTTGCTTCCTTCCTGAGTCACTTCCTCAAGGCCTCCAGCTCAGACACTTAGCTTGCCTGGTGGGGAGAGGAACCAACTTAGTCTAAATATCTTTACAAACTTGCCGTTAATGCCTGGACTCAGTTTTCAAGCTCCAAAACCCTCCAAAATTACTTATTTTCATTTTTTTTTTCTTTTTTGCATTGCTGCAATAACATCCTCACAGTGAGGGCTCAGAATGCTGAGGTCCCCTTTGAGAGATGCTTGTGGGCAAATGGAGAGGGGAGGGGAACAGTAGAGGGAAAACATGTCACTTATTAGTTCAAAATATTATTCCACCTCATTTACTTCTTGGAATAAAATGTTTCTTTTAACCAGAAGTTTGAAAAGTAAATGTGCTTCATTACGGAGGGAAAATCCATTCTTCTCGAGGCTCTCCTTTTATGGGCAGGCACCATCAGGGGCAGATCCGTGGTTAACACTCTCTGGGTCCTTTTCTGAAGTTGTCAGCACTTTTCACGAGCTCCGTTTCCCTGTCTGTCTTTCTTCTCCAAGAAACACTATGGCTCTGAAAACGTTCTCAACAAACACTCTCGCCATCATGGGAAGAGAGAACAATGAGTGCATGTCAACTGCTTCCCATAAACACTCCCTTGACCCCTAATATGTCAAGCTTCTGAGGTCTCCTGCACTGTAAGCCCCTGATGGAAGGGGAGGGTGATATTTCAAATATTCCTCATTAAAAGTTTAGGAATTAGTCCAGAACCAAAATAACACCTGAAACTAATTTTCTTGACGCATTCATAGGTTTTAATGACAGCTTCATTAATTGAGCGTACTCACATAGGACAAAAAAAAAATCATGTTTTCCTTAATGACCTGCCAGATGATGGATTTCTTTGGTGACTTTATCCTAAAAAACTTCAAAGGAAGGGAAGAGGAGGAAGGACAAGCTCTGGGTGTCACATCACAAAACTGGCCTTGCCCAAGAGGGCTCCTGGGGTCTCATGTGGGCTTGGCAGGCAAGAGGAGAAACATGGTGCCTTGCTAGGAGCCTTGCTCCTCAGAACAAGCTTCAGGGATCAGCTGCAGCAGCCCAGCTCCCCTCTCTGAATGGACCAGAAATCTGTATGGCACAAGATGCCCAGAGATTTTCAGGGGCATTGAAGTTTGCAGAGCACTGTGGGGAGCTTTGAATGGAGACCAATGGGCTTGGGTGGGGATTCCACCTTCCCTCACCACTGGTGTGAAGAGAGCACAGTTGTTTTACCTGCCTGAACCTCAGCTTTTCACCCGTGAGATGGGGTAATGGTGTCTACCTCATGGAATTAAGATTAACCAAACACTTTGTACAACTCTAGCTATGTAAATAATTTTGAATAGTGGTGAGCAATTGTGTTTGCTGTGGCTTCTCTTATCCATCCCGTTTTAGAGAAGAAGTTTTTGTAGGGATCAGGACTGAATTCAGGTACAGCTGTATGACATTGATCATGTTATCTTACCTCTCTGAACCTCAATTTCTCCTTGTGTGTAAAACGGGCATAATTTAAATGTCAGTTAGGCACCAAACCTTCAGATCTTTACCCAAGAGAAGTCAGAAAATGTCCCAAGATGTCTGCAAGGCTTACACTCTCATTGTGCTCTACCAGTGCTGTCCTGTTCTTCCCCTCATCTTCCCTGGTTCCAAGTTTGGGCCCATTAACTTTCTATAAGCAATCCACTTCCTTGAAACTTTTCTTGAGTTGGGTAGAATTTCCACAAAATTGGGGGAGTGGGAGTCTAGGAAGATTGTTTGCAAACGGCATGACCTTATGCAAACTCCCTGGCTCTTTGCTTTCCTCCTTCTCATTTCCCCTTATCACAGCCCCATCAGGAAGAAGAAAACTCCTCCTCTTGTCACCCAGAAGAAAGCTCAATTTAGCAGATGTAGGGGACTAGGAGCGAAAGGGTTCTTATTCAAAAGACTTGACTAGTATTTCCTCTCTGTGGGTCTCCATTTCCTCATCCCCAATAGGGGGCAGGAGCCCCTCAATCACAGGGATAGTATGAGAACTAAGGGGCTCTGCAGATACCTCCAGAGTGGCCGGTGTGTGGTGGCTGCTGATTACTGGGGTGTTGTCTTCCCTCTGCCACGCTCTCCCTTCTGAGACTGGGCCTCCCTTCCGCAAGCAGCTGGCTCCTTTTCAGGCTCACCTTCCAGGGTTGCACCAGGGAATGTGAAGGTCTCGAGAGTGGAGAGTGTTTTCTCTTTTCCATCTGCTTCCTGTTGCCATCACCATTGCCAGCAACACCACCTCATCCTGGCAGCAGCATCTGGTTCCAGGAGCACAGTGGTTCTGGTTTGCAATCATTCCTTTCAACACTCCTAGAACCCGCTTCCTGGTGCCCTCTCACAACACTGCACCAGCCATAGCATCTCCTCAGAGGCCAGAACCCCAGGACAGTGGAGCCTCAGGTCCAGGCTCCATGCTACTGGCACCAGTGCCTTAGGTGTCCCAGCACCTCTGGTTCTCAAAACCTTCTGACTTTAGAATCCCAACAACCCACCTTTGTCCCTCCACACCATCTCCAGAGAAGGCAGCTGCTTCCCTTTGCAACACCTCACATCCCTTTCTGCACTTCAGTCCCCGACCTGGTAAATGGTTCTCATCATCTTTAACTCTCTGCTCAGTAAGGACCCAGTTTCTGGCTTCTAATAGAACCCTGTCAAATACAGAAAATATATCAAAGATACTAATTTCCTTCTGGAAAAAAAAATCTACCTTTTACATATGAAGTTTTGTCACTGATAAGGCTATTCAAAAGAACATGCCAATGGCTTTGAAAGCAATTTCCAAAGAAAATTTTCCACACTATTTTGGGCTCTGACAACACTGTTGGAATAAAACTGTGATCCTGAGCATTTGGAACAAAGAGTCAAAATATGTTACTCGGGAAAGAAATGCAGAATTAGGCTTAACTCATGTGGGCAGAGCTGGCTCAGGATCTAGAGGCGCTACCTGTGTAGACACCAGTGCAGGCAAGGACAGGAGAGAGGATTAAGATTAATTCATATCTCCTGGCTTAGTCACTCCATTACTGAGAGTTAATCCTAGAGAAGTTAAAATAATTTTTTAAACCTACATTTGTGAAGATACTCATTGAATGTTATATATATATATATATATATATATACACACACACACACGTATATGTATATATATATATATATGAGTGAAAAAAGCATCATATAATTAATAAATGAAAGAATAAAAAGGCAGCCATTGCACTTGATGGAACAGGTTATAACGATTTTGAAGCTCATGTAAAAAACACAAAAGATTTTTGTGGCATGATGATATTAAGTGGAATAAAATCAGAATGTAAAAGGTGGAGGAAATGAAGGGAAAAGATACAAGACAGTCCACTAATGTGATCACAGGTATGAATATATGCAGTCCTGTGGTAGCCAGGTACCAAAGATGGAAGGGAGACAAGATCAGCAGGACGGAGATATTACCGTGAGCATTTGCCACGTATGGTAGAGGGTAGAATAGACTTCCGGAATCTAGAAGGAAGAACCTTTCAAAATGATCTTCAGCGTTTGTGGGTGCTTGAGTGAAGGTGAGACAATTTTGTTCCAGATGGCATCCCTCCGCTCTATAAAGAGCAACAGAGTTTTAAGGTTGGACATTAAGTTCTTTCTCTCACTGGATCAGCACTGTGGGTGGTCTTGCTCCAGGAGGAGGAGGAAGGGAAAAGAATGAAGGACAGAATCTGAGCCCCGCAGAACAAGTAGGTGTGAAATATTCAGAAGCCTAGCCTCTGACCCAATTAATAAATGAAAGAATAAAATTCTTCCAAACCTTGGTGAGGACTTTCCAGAGGCTTTGTCTCATCCTTTGGCTTTTGTAGGTGTGGAGCTCTGACTCCTTGTGAGCTGCACAGACTTCCACAGTTCTAAAAGCTGTGTGGAACTGGACTGCCATGTAAGACACAGAAGTTATTCCAGAGAGAGGAGATGAAGCTGTGGCCACCAAACAGAGAAATCCAATTTTCCTGGTGATGTTTGCTATTGTTGCAGAAAATTCATGCATCTCGATTTACTCCACCAGCCTTTAGAGGGGAAGAGCCAGGGTGGGAGGAACTCAGAGCAACACGCTGGTCTTCTTGTGTGCTGTGGATGAAGTGGATGAAGGAGCCTGCCCGAGGGAGGAACCTGCCCAAAACACTCATTTGTCCAGCAAGCAAATACCGAGCCCCTTTTGTACACGAGGCCATACTGCATCAGGGGTGACAAAAACAGAGACATTTCCAATCAGTAGAAGGTTGCTATGGTCTGACCGTGTGCCCCCAAATCCACAGGTTGAAATCTCCCCTTGGGATGGCACGAGGAGGTGGGGCCTTCTGAGGCCGTGATGAAGTCATAATGACGAGACCTACAAGGTGCACCTGCAGGGAAATCTTGCTGACTTGGATTTACTGTCCCCTGGAATCTGCCCCTCAACAGCCTGAACTGACAGTTAATTGAAATAAAACGGAACCCCATTCCTAGCACAGGTCTCAGTGACCTGCTTCAATGAAACAGCTGGTTTGTGATGAACAGTGAATTCGTAGGTGTTGGGAGGAGTCCCGAGAGGAAAGGTGCTGCTTGGAAAGGGTCGGCTTTCTAAACTAGATCACATTCTCCCCAGCTGCTTCTCTTAACGTAGTTAAGGGACTCAGCCAGCCTTGAGGTAGAGGACTATGCTACTGGCAGTGGAGGCTCCAAATCTGGCCTCAGGTGGGGTGCAGAGGTGTCTCTGTCAGTGATTCTACAAAGGCCACTGTGCCGGTGACATGGGGACCAGAGAGGACTGCTGACAAGGCAGGGTCAACTGACCCACCCTGAGTCCTCCTGAAGTGGCTTCACTCAGCCACGTGCCCCGGGCACTTCAGTTTTCTGTGCCACTCTGGGGGGCTGCTGCACCCTGGCGTGGAGAACTGGGCCCCACTCTGGCTCTGCTGCTTACTAGCTGTGAGGCCTTGAGCAAGTTCCTTCACCTTTCTGGGTTAGTTTTCCTCATCTCTGAAGTGGACATTTTATGGCTGAACTGGAGATCATGATGTTAAATGAAATAAGCCGGACTCAAACAAACAAGTATCCCTAATGTTTTCCCTAATGTGGAGAATCATTAAAAACAAAAAAAAAAAATGAAGAAGAAGAAGAGCTAACATGAGGAAAGGAATGAGGGGGAAGCGGGTAGAGGAGGGTAACACGGGATGGATACCATCCAGTGCATATATAAAATGCCACAATGAAACTCAATATTTTTAAAAATTAATATGCACTATTTTTAAAATGGGGTTTTAATACTATCAACTACTTGCAGTAACTATGTGGATGACATGAACTTTTAGATGTGAGCTAGTACCAGGCATGGCACGTGATGGGTGAGACTGAGTAACGTGAAAGCCAGCGCACAGTCCCTGAAAACACCTCGCTGCCTCAGTCTGCCTGCTGGGGTGACTTTCCCCAGAGCAGCCTGGATGTCCTTGCTTCACAGCCTCTGTGTCCATTCACGTATCCAACCAGTTTCTCCTCTGCGGGTCGGGAACCTGCCGCCCCTCCACTGTTGCATCGATGATGACTCATCAACAGTCCCCACTGGGGCAGAGAGAACGGCCTCACAGCCTCCACGGTGGGATGCAGTGGGGACACCTCACACTTTTGTTGCACTCTGCGTGACCCCACCCAGCACCCCACAGTCCCTTTACAAGACACAACTTATGGGACCTCCTTCTTGCTGGTAGAAAACCTGGCAGATACTTTTAATTGGGTTTCCCAGCTCAGAAGTCACCATTATCAAGGCGTCTGCCCTGGGAGGGGTGAATGTTACTTTTCTTAAAATTAAGAAAAAATAGACATAATATCAGATATTCCCATCTTAAGAATTTTGAAGGATACAGATCAGTGGCATTAAGTATATCCCCCTAGTACAGCTCTCACCCCCTCCAGAACATTCCCTTCTTCCTCTACTGGAATTCTGGTGCCTTTGAGCAGTAACTCCCTCTTCCCCCAGTTCCTGGGAGCCACCATTCTACTTTCTGTCTCCATAATTTGACTACTCTAGCTACCTCATAAATGCAGATTCATACAGTGTCTGTTCTTTTGTGGACTGGGCTTGTTTTACTCAGCATAATGTCCTCCAGGTACATTCATCTTATAGCTTATGTCAGAATTTCATTCCTTTTCAAGGCTGAATAGTAGTCCATTGTGTGGAGATACCAGCGTGGGGGTATCCATTCACCCACTGACTCTCAGACTTCCACCTTGGGCTGTTTTGAAGAGTGCTGCAATTAACGTTGCTATACAAATATCTCTTGAGACCTTGCTTTCAATTCATCGGGGAATACATGCAAAGGTGAAAGGACAGATCAAATGGTAAACGCCAGGTTTCATTTTTTGAGGAAATGTCACTCTGTTTCCTGGTGTTACCTTTCCCTTTAGTTTGGAAATGATACCCTTTTATTCTGCTCTGCTGCTTTCTTTGCTCGGTCTCCTTCCAACTCAAGGAAGGCTAAGCCGCATTTCTTTCCTGCTCTGGGAAGGTACCACCTACTGATAACACTGATCCCCACCCCCTAAATCTAGATGTTCTGTGGAAACTACACCCCAGCACCCTCTGATTTCCTCTGGAGGTGACAGACTAGGGAAGGCAATGCTTACATAAGCTGCATATATCAATGGCCTGATAAAAGTGCACTTCTGAAAAAGCTCGTTTGGGGAATAATGGACAATAACTCCTCAGAGAAGAGAAAAAACTGAACTTAAAGTATTGTTAATCTTAAAGTATTGTTAATTTTTGTCATATGACTAAATTCATTCTATACTTGTTCTTTGTTTACATTGTTCTTTGATGACCTTGTAACTCATCTTAGAATTTAAATTTTGTCTTTTTATCATTAGTAGTATACAAATAACCAGAATCGGCCTGCATTCCAATTGTGATTATTTAAACATGAACCTGAGGCCCACGTCCAGCGAACAAAGCTTCTATCCGACCAAGACAGAGCAAAACAAAACAAGGAGTGAGACACTCAAGGGAAGACACTTCTGACTGAAAAAGAAATCGTATTTCTTAAAATAACGACCTGAGGCCAAGAACGCTGTGCAAAGCGTGGGTTTGGGGGCTTTGGAACAAATGCTGACAGCACTTTAATCACGGCTGTGCGAATCAAAGCCCAGCCGTATTTCCTCCTGGAACCATTATCTACTTTCTTTGGAGTTTTAGGAGACAATTACGCGAGAGAAGCAGAAGATGCTGTGCTGAGGACACGCAGAGGGCAAGTGACCCAGACAGAGCTTGCGAGATGAAGGAAATTCTGTCCTCAGTGGAGGGTATGACAGGGGATTTTCCACCAAACAAGCCTTTCCGCTAGAGTGTGGGGAGGAAATGTCAGATGCTACAGAGAATGTGTTTAAATTTAAAAATAAATTCAGGTTTAATAACACTCAACATATGGATTAACAATGGGACCTATAAATAGACTAGAGATGAATATTCAAGAATGGCAGAACAGTTGCAGAGATGGCTATCAACAAGGCGTGGCCTTAGAAAATATCCCTGCCATTTCTCTAACCTGCTCTTGCTTGAAAC